GTGGCGCCTGGGTCAGGTACGTCGACACCGCCGAGCGCTTCACCGATGCAGGTCTCGACTGGCAAAGGGCCATCCGAGAAGTTACTGGTTCCATCATTCAGTGGTGAGCCGGAGAGTGGAGACCTGGGTGCATCAGCTCGCAGTTACCTACGGCAAATAGCTGCATGGGAACGCATGACCACTCTGAGGCGGGAGCAACGTGCACTTGTTCTCTACCAACACCTCCAGGGCGCAGCTTGGATCAATGCGGAGTCTCTTGAAGTAGACCGGCTTGGAGGTCCCGATGGCATCGAGTATTTCCGGGGCTGGATCGAGCAGCACTACCTGGATATCGAGGTCACCTTGATAGGCAAGAGTCTAAGCGACCTGTTCCGCCGCCTGAGGCGCCGGCCCCAGCAGAGTTTCCGCGACTACGCCGCAGAGTTTAACAGACTACTTGCCCGGGTTACAGAATGTGGATGCGCCCTGCCCGACACAGCGACAGCATGGCTCTTTGTGGACAGGGCATCGTTGGACGAGTCCACCGAGGTTTCTCTCCTGGCATCGGTCGGCAACAAGTACGCGCTGAGACAGCTCCAACAGGCCGCTATCATTTTGGATAGGTCCATGAGGAAGCCCTGGGAGAAGAACACTCAGCACAGCCGACGGCCGCAGCAGGCAAACATGACTGACGAGGTCCACGATGGCTCCGACGCGGAAGAGGGAGACGAGAGCCCGCCTGAGTACGACACGGAGGGCCAGGACAACGGCGACCTCTACGTGGCTTACATGACGGCGAAGGCCAAGTACAGGGACGCGGGCAAGAATCGGGGCATCGACCTGGACAACGTCAAGAAATCTGCCGAGGAGAAGGTGAAGTTGGCAAAACAGCGCAGCCATTGCGCCGCGTGCGGACAAAGGGGACATTGGCATCGGGACCCCGAGTGTCCCAAGAAGCGAAGCGATGGAAGTGGTGGCAGCCATGACCGCCCCAAGGTGCAGACCGTGAATGTGGTTCACGAGGTCTACGAACTGAGCTCCAACACGGAGGACCCGCTCTACGCGATCACCGACTCGGCGTGTTCCAAGTCGGTCATGGGTACAGGATGGATGCAGCGCTACATCGAGATGGCCAAGACAATGGGCGTCGAGGTTCCGATCGTGTACGAAAAGGAATCCTTCAAGTTTGGAGCGAGCCGAGTGTACGAATCCAACTACGCGGCCATGGTGACCTTTGCCATCGGCCACCGCTGGGTGATCGTTAAAGCTGCCGTGGTGCACGGGGATGTGCCGCTGTTGATCTCCAGACCAGTTCTCGCTGAGATGGGCACCGTCCTCGACATCGCCAACAACACGGCGACCTTCTCGGCCCTGGGGGTGCAGGATCACAAGCTCATCGCGACGTCCTCCGGGCATCCCGCTGTTTTGATAGGTTCCAATGGACTGCAGAAGCCCAGCCCGGAATCCTTGCCAAAGGCATGGGACGCAAAGGAGGTTGCGATCTTGAGCCCTTGCCGCGCCTACACAAGCTTTGTTGCCGAGAGTATCCAGAGCGAGAGCCCTTCATGTCGTCACACGTCCTACTACAGTGCCAAGGCCGAGATTCCCAAGCTGTTTTTTGAGAAGCGCATAGACCCCGGCATTCGTAACATGCTCATCGCTGATACTTTGAACCTCAACTCGTTCTTGGCATGGTGGTCGTCTACTCCTATTTCGAATGATTTCTGGATAGAGTGCGAAGATCGATTGGTCAGAGTTCATGTGGTCCCCAGAAAGTACACCTTCAACCCGAGTAGTTGGAACACACCTCTTTCCCGTACTCGTGATTCACTACTGGAATCCCTTGGTGATGTGCGTGAGTCATGGGGAATATCGTGCCACAGTTACAGGATGTTCGATGTGATAGGCGATCTGTGGAGGAGTGCGCCCAACCACGCTTTGCCAACTCTATGGGTCGGCCGCAGCACTTTCGTTCGAGCTTCTACCGGGGCGCCCCTACGAAATCCTCCTGGTGATGTCTGCGCCATGGAAGATGAACAAGTCGGAGCTGCTCCAGGAGTGCGTTCGCCGAGGAATACCGACGAGCTCAAAGTGGACGGTGGCGGAGCTCCGCCATGTCCTGACCGCCGACAACAAGGGAGTGGAGGACCCGATGCCCACGGGTCTGAGTTCGATGTCTTTGGCACAGCTACGGAGCGAGGCACAAAGGATTGGCCTGGAGTACGGGACCCGCGAAACCAGAGGAGCCCTTATGCTCCGCATCCGCGACCACGTGGCCCCGGACCAGACCGTGATGACCCTGGGCCGGTTCAAGGGCAGCTTCTACAAGGACGTTCCAGAACAATATGGAGACTGGGCCTCGGAAGAGGAGAGAGCGAACCCGAACATGCACCCAGATCTCCGTCGCTACGTCAATTGGAGGCGCTACCAGAAGGAGACCCAGGCCGCGGCATACTCGACCGCGACAGCATCTTCGATGGCACCCGAGATAAACTCCAAGATCCCGCCTCCACCGTTGTCCGAGACCGGCTACAGCAACAACACGTGGGATGTGGTGAGCTCGGAGATGACTTTGCCGATACCTCCGCGCGCAACTCAGGCCAAGGCAAAGGCTGCAGCCTCCAAGACTGCACCGAGGACGAGAGTTCGCGAGGAAGAACAACCTCGCCGGATGGAACAGGAGATCGAGCCCGAGGTCCTGACCGAGATCGAGATGCTGGAGATGCGCCTAGCAGCCCTACGCGACCGCCATGGGCTTCATCGCGAAGGGCAAATCTGAGGCACGCCGACGGCGCAACCAAAGGAAAGGGGATCGGCGAGATCAAGGCGGGTGACCTCGTGAAGATTCAGGACAATGTGAAGCTGGGCGAGGTCATCTACCAGGACGAGGAGCAGGAGATCTACGAGTCGTGCGTCTCTGACAACGAAGACGACTACAAGGAGGACCTCGCCTCCCCCGACGAGGTACACGTCTACCTCACCACCAAGCACCACGAGAAGGCGAAAGGCCAGCGGCCCGGAGAGGACATTGCAAAACAGGCCATCCAGGACGGCGACTTCACCTACGAGCGGTTGGAGAAGGTGATCCAAGAGGCCGAGCTTAAGACCAACAAGAGGGTACGAAAGCTGGCCCACGGGAACGAAGCCTCCGAGCGCTACGTCTTCGGCCTCTACGGATACGGGCCGTTCAAAGGAATTTG